AGAAATCTCAGGCAGTTAAAACTAGAAATGTCTACCCTTGTTTAGTGTTACGATTATTGCTTGGACAAAGTTTAGGGTGACCCGCTCACAGTGTACAATTTTCAGCTAATAAATCTTGAATTCTGAGGTAACAAAATCAACTAAACTCTGTAAAAGTGATTTATCAGAAATCATGCCCTTACTTCCATGATAAGAGGGATTCGTAAAAATTATAAGCAGGTTGTGGCTTATTATCTAGTAAAAGATACAAGAATCCCAGATCTGAAAACGATTATTGTTCATGTGATCACAAACTTGCAGCGACTTGGTTTGTGCGTGTTGGCACTATTTCTAATCGGGGCGCAACGATCAAAAACGCACTTGAGACGATTTGCTCGGAGAATACTCACGGATCAAGTCCATTCCATTTTATAGTCAATGCTCAGAGTATTTCTACAATTTGTGATGAACCACATTTATTCAAAAATGGATGAAATGCTCTTATTGACATTAATATGAAAGTGAAGAAGCTGCACAGATTGAACATGTCTAGAAATATAATGTTGATCAGCAAACAAGACCATACAAAGAGCTATGTAAATTGAAACCCAGCCACTTTGATTTTATAGATTCGTTAAGAATATAGAAATTAATCCTTTAATGGTATCGTCGGATGATTCGAGCTTTCTCAGTTATGTGGTGGGGTCCCGTGACTTCTCATACGGTATAAGCACGTATACCTCAAACCACAGTTTAATTTAAACATCACAAGTGTTGGTTTGTTGACTTTGCGGTCAAATTTGATCCGAGGATGTCAGTTGCGTGTACGATTTGAACTTCCTTCACAATGGATTTTTTCGTTGTTGACGGATGAAATACACCATAGACTACGCCGAGGACGACGCTGTTATCGATCAACCTGAACAACTTCCTATGGGCGACCTCGCTATGCTTATGGAAAAAACATGTACAATTGGTCAAAACGAGCGCCTGCAACTGGTCGATCCAGACGACAATATTATTCCTGAACTAAAGTCCGTGGCAACCAATTTGGAAAATAATAACCCTGTGACTCGAGAAATGCAGATAAATTTCTCCAAATACGAAATTTTCGAGACACTCATAGAGAACTGTCGAAATTGTTATATTTCGGGTGAGTCCCCTACAAAATACGAGATGCTCGTGGGCCGATGTCCTTCCTGTGCCTACAAGAAAACTAAACCGAATAAGTATGGACTGATGATGCAAAGACTCACCACTACCTGCTCAATGCTTTCGTCTATACGAACAGAAATATCACAGCAGATGACTGGTTCACGTCAGTAGAATTACATGTAGAATTGCGCATCAACCAACTGACCTATGTCGGCAGGAAGCGTAAAAATAAGTAACAAGTACCCCAACATGTAGTTCCAAATAAGAAGGAAACACAGCCAGGTACTTCTAAGTTTATGTTCACTAGCACTACAGCCTTAGTGTAGTATCTTCCAAAACCAAATACACATGTTCTCGTATAGCAATCTATGCAGCATGATAACAAAATAGTAGAGGAATCAAAGAAACCTGATAAGATTCTATATTATTTTTATAACACTATGAAGGGGGGGGTAATGCATTAGATCGGAAGTGTGTAAATTACAATACTGGTTAGAGAACGAGAAGATGCCTTGTGCTATTTGGTATCCAACCAGCTTCTGTAAATTCCTTTTTTTTTCAGTCTGGGACTGAAAGTTCTATTAGGCGACGAAATTTTATTGTTCCCTGAGGCAAACTCTAATTTAACTTCGTATGAGAGGACGTTTATCAGATCCAAGACTTCCTAGGGAGCTTCGTTCAGCCATGCAAAGAATCCTCCAAAATTACCAACGACGAATAAAGTAAGCCGTCTACTTCTCAGCCCAGAGTTCTCGATCCTGATGCAGTTGTTAAAGGGAAAAAACGACGTAGGTGTTACATGACAATACACAATGAAAAAAATGTTCTACAATCTGTAATAAGTATGCAAAGTCACAGAGCAGCTACATTGTTTCGTGAAAAGTGATAAATGTGAATTATTGTACGTTTCCTTATACGAGAAAGTATTTGTTTTTGTTGTAGAATATCAACACCAAATATGTTGTTAAATGGCCCATTTTGTTAGTTTTTTTATGTTCATATTACAGTTCAAGTTTCGTAAATTATATTTATTGCATTACTCATCTTCAAATGGGGTATTTTCGTTTTTAGACAATAAACAGTTTTCATGTAAGAGTGTTTATGCGTACAAACCTGTTGTACACATGGCTAAAAACAGTAATGGCATTTCAGAAGTTGATAGTAAGATCCGGTGGATAACCTGTTTTGCGAGATTAGACGTGGGATTTCCAACACGAACCCCATCTGCTTATTTGCAGCATTAAAAACTGTAATAATCAACAATTTCAGTTTTCCATTGACAATAATGAAGAATTATGAAGGCGATTCATGTAAGGCACTAGGTAACTTCGCGTTGCTTTTAGAAGAGTATTGTCTGAATAGACAACAGTTACCTTGTGATTCTTCACCGAGCTGCATTTTTCAAGTTGAAAAATCGGGTGCTGAAAGTGATGGATCTATAGATTTGTGAGAATTTGCTGCTGCTTCAACTTCTTTTTGTAATAACAATAACAGTCTATGAAATTTAACAATTCTGTTTCTTCTTTGATTTTGAGTCACCCTGTAAATGTAGCTCTACTAAACTATCGGACCGCATTCATAGCCTACAAGAGAAAAAATCTTCTATACTGGAAAGGAGGAAAAAAAGAATGTATCAACCTGATACATCTGCCCCTCTTTATAACCCGTGAAATAGCCCTAGTTCTAATTAAATTTCAGTTCAAGCTTCCAAAATGACTTCCGACAATATTAAAGTAGCCATAAAGATCAGACCAATGATCCACGCGAGTAGCCGATGGTCTAGAGCGTCTTTGGAACGTAAGAGAAAACTGCATATGGGAAGCCGATGAAAGTAGTCGCCATGGAGAGGTTTATATATTCGACCATGTATTTAACAGGAATGTACAAATTCAGATGTATATGGATCTGTAGTAAAACCTTTAGTCGATTCCTTCATGGAAGGTTTCAATGCAACAATATTTGCATATGGCCAAACATCTTCTGGCAAAACACACACCATTTTGGGCAATAAAACAGATCCTGGGCTTTTCCAATTAGTATCCAATCAGTTATTCCAGCATGTGGCAGACCAGGTTGATAAGAGGTACTTGATTAGATCAGTTATATTGAAATCTACAATGAAAAGATCAATGACCTCCTGGATAAGAGCAATCAGGGTTTAACTATAGAGAAGATATCAAAGGAAATGTGCTGCTTGATGCAAGGGAAGCTGTCGTAGACAATGTTGATAAAGTTATGGAGAACATGATGCAGGGCAATAAGATCAGACGAGTTGCAGCTACTCGCATGAATGAGAGGTCATCTCGATCACACACGATTTTCCGGATTATTCTGGAGTCGAAAGATGCCAATCAGAAAGATGGACCTGTACATATAAGCTACCTTAACTTAATGGACTTAGCTGGTTCTGAGAGAGTTTCTCTGACGAAAGCTGCTGGTGAGCGTCTTAAAGAGGGGGCTAACATAAACAAATCTTTGTCAGTATTAGGAAATGTGATAAGGCAACTAAGCGAGGGGAAGGAGTTTATCAGTTATCGCGATTCGAAATTGACTAGACTGCTCTCACAGGCTCTTGGCGGTAATGCCAAATCATTGATTATCGGGAATGTTACTTTAGCTGCAGAGGAGGAGACTAGATCTACACAGAATTCGCCCAAAGCACTAAAACTGTCAAAAATAAACCGAAAGTAAACATCTTGTCAGCTACAGAAGAGGCACTTCAAGGATATCAGAACTTGACTCGCGATCTCGAAACTCGGCTCAAAAAGCAGGCAATTAAGCTAGAAGAGATGGAGAAAAGCAAACAAGAGTATCTGCTCGAGATAGAAAGACTAAAAACGGAAGTATCTATTGTCGGGCGCTTTCAAATGGGAGCCTCGGCATCAACACCGAAAAAACATTAAGACGTCATACTTTTGGAGACTATGGCAACGTATCACCTAAAAAAGCATCCCTACGGTATATGCCATTGAAAAATTATCCACCCAAAGAAGAATCATCCGGACGTGAAATGAGGCCTATTCAAGAAGAGACATATGAGGAGGCACTAGCCGAAGCAGAATCTGTGATAGCTGAAGACGTGCCTGCAAGTGTACTTAAAAGACAACTCAAAGAACTGGAAGAATCTTTCAATGAGCTTAGAGAATTCACTAAACTAGATAATCAGCTGGAGATTTTGGACCTGAAGAAACAGCTCACAGAAGCCAATTCTAAAATCGATCGTTACAGTCAGGAACTCCGCCAAGTAACGGATGCGTACAACAAAGAAATAGAAAGGGTT